GACTAAGATCTGCTCACTATTTGCACCCAGGACAGAGTTGGGTTCAATGCTCATTGTTGTGCTGCAATTGTGGGCATTTCATCTCAGTAAAACAGAGGAAGAATGTCATTTTCCTAGGGACAATTAAAACTTGTTACAAAAGCCTACAAAGGTTAAGTGTCAGGATTCCAGGGAAAAAAAATGAAAACCTGTAGTTTGTCCTCTGAAAGAAAACTTGAGTAAAAATCACACTAAATGTGTAGGACTCTCTGAATGCTGCAAGCACCATAGCTTAAAAAGAATTGTGGAGAAATCTCAAACTGAGATAGGCAGATGCATGCCACAGTATTTACTTTCTGTGCTGTTAATATGCAGCTTTTTGTAAATAAAATTTTGGACAGTCACTAGCACTGCAGCTTCCAAAACACTTTATTTCCTTAATTTCTGGAAACTGTGAAAAAAGTAGGGAAGAATTCTTAACTGAAATGTAGTTTGTATTAATATTCTAGACCTGTAAGTAAAGAGAAAAATCACAAATCTCATGAGCTGTCTACTACATGAGATTTAGTGGTCAGAGAATAGGATAAGTACATGGCTAACTAACAAAACGTGACTTCAAGATGTTTAAAGTAAAGAATTTACATCTTTATTTTAGTTGCACGTTTCAAAAGTGAGCTACATGAGCCATCTGCAAACAATAATTTTATGTGCCTATGAGTAGAATTCAGTGGGTTCTGGTTGAAACATCAGATTACATGAAGAACCTAATTTAAATATTTGGATTAATTAAGCAAAGAGGAATTCAAACAATTCGGAGACCTTGACATTTAATTCAAATCTTTTTTATATAATGGTGCTAATTAGTGTCCACATTAATAAGAAGAAAATACTGCCAAATTATATTTTTGCCTACTGTTGTTTTCTAAGGAAAATGATTGTTAATTTACTTGCTCAGTTAGTGAGTCACCATTTTTTGGCAGAGTGTCATTGGTAAATTGGGTTTGTTTGTTGCTGGCATTCATTCTCTGTAAATAAGGCCATTAATGAATTTTTCTATAATTAACATTTTGCAAGTAAAAAAGTTATTATGAAACATAAATTCATTGCTATTTTCTTTTAACTAATTGTATGACCACTGCTGATCAGACTCTAGGTCTACTGTTGTTGCTGAACCCAAGAAAACTTACCGCTCCTGTCTCCTATGGAAAAAGGCATTTAAAGCTATCAAATAATGAATGTTAAACATGACTGTACCAAGTATTGTTCCTTGCTATTTATTGTTATTTATTTCTATTAATGGAGTAAAAGGCATAAAACATCTTTACGTTTAAAGGCGGTATTATTAACAGAAAGCTACTTTCTCTTTTTGAAGTAGAATTGAAGATAAACTTCTTTATAGATGCTTGTTACTATTATTATTTCTTGATTTAAAAAAAAATCTTACATTAATGTCAGCATTGATTCTTTTCTTCCAATTTATATGTGTTTCTCATTTATTTTGTTTTACCTTCAGTATTTAAGAATGGATCTACAAGCTTTATATATCAGTAGGATGTAAGGAAGAAAAAAAACATTAAAATATTATTTGAATTGCTTTTTGTATGCCATGTAACAGAAGATGATAGCTTCTGCATGAACTTTCAGGCTTTACCTATTACTGCCTTTAGTGTTATAATATATTGGTGATGTTACTTTTTATATTTGTGTTGAAAACAAAAAAAAACACTTAAGAATCATAAATTTATGCTGTGAACACCCATCTCAGGAGTTCATAACTACATTTAAAAGGGTGCTGTTAATACAGACAATAATTCATTAAGATTCTGTTTCTCCAGTGTGAAAAGCAAAGTTTCATTTAATGCTGGATTTGGTTTTCAAGTTGTACCAGGTCCTTTGCATCTGCTAACAATGCGCTTATTTGGACAAAACATTGCTTTGTCCACTATTGCATACTTTTTCACTCTCCCTCCAAATGAAACAATTTTTATAGATAAATGCCCATCTAGACAGTGGTTAATCATTTAAACCTACTTATACATTTTGACATTATGAAAATACTCTTGTTTTAAACCGTAAGGGAAAAAAAACTTGTTAGCAAGGAAGAATGCAAGTGGACTAGTTTTATGCTGTGATATTACTGGATATCTGCTGAAAGTCCTTTGTTTCTAATGAATCAAGCTTTCTGCTTCCATGTCCTTCCCTATCTTTAAGAAATTAAAATATTAAGTTCTTCCGCTAAAAGCATACATGATGTATATTTTCAGAGGAGGGGTTTGTTGTTATTTTGAAATGTAAATTTCAACTTTGATAGTATTGCAGTTTAAACTGAAGAAACCTAGACATTTTCTCGTCTTTAAATGTAGTGCTGAAGTAAGGGAGAACCCTACCTGCTGTAGAATGGATTTTGGTTCTAGGCTTCTATTGTCCAATCTAATTAAAGCTATCTAATGTAATAAGCTGTACTATGTAATGGAATTGGTTTTTTTCTTCAAGAGAGTTTATCGAGACTACAGTATTAGAAAAATTGACTTCAGTTCTATCTGAATATAGCTTTGTTTAATTTCATCTTACTGCCCCTAGTTATTTCCCTTCAGAACTGCCTTTTTTCATGTTAATAGAAAGACTTTTTCTTAGTGATAGAAAACCTTTCATTCTGTGTAGGGTTTAAAAATAAACTTCTAGTTCTTATGAAAGATGATAAATTTACAGTTTTAGATATTTTAAATTTTCTACATAAACACAGATCATTGAAAAGTTTCTCTCACTTTTTTTTTTCCCTAGTCATTATTAACTATATTGTTAAATGAAAATGATGTAATAGCTATAAGCTATACAACACAAACAGCACTTGGGAAAGAAATGCATGTGCAAAAATGAAGCGTATGGTAAAATGGTAAAATAACCAGAAAAAAAAAAAGTCAAAGCAGCTTTAAATGAGAATCTACAAGACATTAGTATAAAATGAAATGAGAATTAAGATTGTGTTATGTCATTTGGCTCATAGTGG